GCATAGGCAGCGTGGCCACGGATGCCCCTAATGAGGCTAGGATCCGTAGGTCCACCAGGACACTCACCAACAAGCTCCCACGGTGGAGAACCATTCGAACGTCCTCCCCTACTCCGTCTAGTCCCGGAGATCTCTGTCTCTCATGAGTAGGTGGTACGAACCATTCAACTCAGTCCCTATACATAGCAGGACGTGATGTTGTCGTACAAGACGACACTCGTCCATGTCCTCGCCTAGGTGGAGGGACCTGGATATCCTCATCAGTATCGTCCAGATCAAACTCAACCGAGATCACCCTCGATGCAGCACTCGGGTTCCTCCCATGGGAACCAGACGCCCGTGATGCCGAACGAGCAACTATAGTAGGAGCCTCTAACTCATCATCCCCTAAATCTGCCTCTGACTGATGTCCAATCTGTCGAGAGCGCTTCTTCTCCTTATTCTTCTTGGGCACCTTCCTTCGTGTTGATGCATAAACAATCCTACCATCGAATCTAGGCAACTCACTCCCACCCGCATCATCCATATCTAATTATCTACAAATTATACTTAGATGCGCACTAATTAATTAATTTTCTATTAACTAATGTCCTGAATATTAACATTAATTGTTAATCAATCACTAATTACTTAATTTTCTATTAACTAATTTAAGTAATTAAACATTCATACACCAATCGAAATACACTAATTGCTAATTACTATTAACTAAAGTATTGAATATTAACATTAATTTTCAAATCAATCACTAGTTAATTAATTTTCTATTAAATAATTTAAGTAATTAAACATTCATACACCAATTGAAATACACTAATTACTAATTTATATTAACTAATGTACTAAATATTAATATTAATTGTTAAATCAATCACTAATTAATTAATTTTCTATTAAATCATTTAAGTAATCAAATATTCATACACCAATTTAAATAAATATTAACACTAATTGTTAATTTCTATTAACTAATGTACTGAATATTAACATTAATTATTTAATCAATCACTAATTAATTAATTTTCTATTAACTCATTAATTTTCTACTGACTAATTAATTAACATATAAAATAAAATTGCCTGCAAAATCCGGTCAGACCGAAAATATTTGCGGTCGGTGCGCCGCCGGGCCGAAAAAATTTGCGGCTGGTGCGCAGCCGAGCCAGGAGGAGAGCAGGCCGAAAATCTCTTTCGGCCCGGAGGCGCCCCGACCGCAAAAAATTTTTGACCGACCATCGTACACACTGCCAGAAAAATATCGGTCGGCGTGTTCGGCGGCGAACTGGAAAAAAGTTGCGGCGTGACGCCGCCACGCCGACAGAAATTTTTGGCTCGGCGGCGTCCCGGCCACAATTTTTTTCGGCCTGCCGTCATTCTCGCCAGAAAACTGAAAAAGTTGCCGGAAAAATTAAACTTATTTGTTTTCCGACGGTTGAGGACAACGAGAGGTTGGCCGGCGATGGATGCACTGGGCTCGACGACAGAAATTTTTGTTGGAATGAGTCAAATGTTATTGGTATCCAAATTTATAGAATGAAAGAAAGGGAAAATTCAAAAATAATAATAATAATTTAGTTGGCGGCAAATAGCGATTTGGTTGGCGGCAAATAGCCGTTCACGTCAAGTATGTGTTCGATGAGCCTAGAGGTAGTAGTAGAATGCTCGTTCAGCTTGCAATTGTCACCCACTTCAACTTCACGACGAGGGAGGAGAACAACCCTTCTTGCTCCCCCCACCATTTTTTCGCAGAGACTGTCAGATACTATGGTGGACGTTTGAACTTTCTGAATTGCGTAGAATTTGAGAGATTTGCTCCAGCTACTTAAATTCGCCAAGCATTTCATACATGTAATAATTAATGAAAATTATTTTAGTTTAAACAAGATATTTAAGTTTGAATAGGGCGTCGGGTATCATTAAAGTCCACATAAAGTGCATCCGTCTAGTTTTCCATCCAACTCAAGCTTTTAATTACCTTTTGGTACTCAAAACTTATAAAAACATCAAAAGTTACATTTCAACAAGTATTATCTAATATAAAAATTAGAAAACCTTCTAAACATAGTACTACTAGAATGACTAATGAAATTTTTTAAATATAATAGATAAATGAGTAAAAAATAATAAACGAATATCAAGAAAGAATATAATATACTAAAAGATAATAATAAATAATTAATATTAGATATCTATTTAAATCTCTAATTTAATTAAAAGCACCACTAAAATCAGTTAAAATAAAACCTAATTGACCATCAATACATCAAGACCAAAGAAGGATAAATGGGACACCATTTGAAAATTAAACATATTCCATTAATTGAAAAAAAAAAGAACGAAAAGAGACGGAAAGCAACCCAGTAATAAGTAAACTATAAAAGCTAAAACATTCAATTTCAAATATAGAAAAGAAAATATGACTATTGTAAAAGAATTAGAATTAGTAAATTTAACTAATATGAAACATCTACAATATAATATTAGAAGCTTACAAGGAGATTTAACATGGAAAATAAAACAACATCAACATGATGTAAGTAAACTAAATATAACATCTTTAGATTATTTATATCAAGATAAAATTCATAGGATATATTTACTTCAGAGATTAATTCAATTATTGGAACACATAATGATAATTGAAAATACTTATAATGATAATTGATTATAAATTTCATATTGAAATATTGGTTCGGTACCAGAGTCTTCAAAAGAAGATTCAAACTAAACAATAAAAACAAATGATGTTTTTCATAAGTACAGAGGATTCTTTACAACAATAATAAGTAGAAGGATCATTTCTGAAATTTAGAAAACAGAATATTTCAAGAATATTCTATCAACTTTTATAGAATGCATTTAGCAGTAAACTTAAGTGGTACCGAATGCACATATAATAGAGTTCAGTGGTACTTGAAGCACTATTCAAACTTAAGTGGTATACCTGCCCCAATTCTCATACTTTAGTGGTACCCAAGGTATTTTACCAATAAAACTACCTTGGGCTAAACTCATATGGGAAGGTTGTTCTATTCCAAGGAATAGATTCCTGGTGTGGCTTATTATTCACTAGTTTATAACTTGGCCCATTGGTCGGAATATTTATATTTTCATGTTACATTTAAATTTATCAATCCGTTTAATTTTATTGGCAATCATTCGATCGAGATGATACATAAAGAAAGAATATATAGATCGAACATTTGGAGATATATAAAAATGTAACATTGATATCATTTTCATAATGATAATTAAGTAACCGGTAAATGATATAAGTTAGTTGATTGTCAAGAAAGATAGAGTATAAATGCTCACTGAAATTCCCTCATGAACCATAGATAGTTTGAAACTAAATTTTAAACCTCGCAATCCTACATAACGGTTCAATGCTCTTCTTTTAGGAACAAACCTAATCAAAAAGAAATGGAGAGTTGGTGATTCAAGTCAACTATATGCTAACAACTCAGCTAAGAGGGGATCATCACAACTTTATAGCAAAGCCAAAATTAGGGTTACCTCCAATATACTAATAGACTCGATCAAAGTAATAAGGAACAAAATTACACTCTTTATCATTTCTAGTAGGTTGAATAAAGAATCGACCGACCTACTTCAATAAATCAATCGATGATTGCACGTTATAAGATATATTAGGATGCAATAGCTTCAAAAACCATAAACATAAAGATCGAATAGCCACCACTCTTCGTTGTACAATAAATTTTTTATCCACTCTATCTTCAATATCAAGAGGCGTATGTTTCAACCAAAAAATTCAATTTTCAATCCTCCTTCTGCACCTCCATTTATTGAACTCCATTCTATTCGCCATGGATTGATATCGGAGTAGAAATCTTTTACTTGCCAAGTTTAAATCCCCAAGAATAAATAGTAGTGCCAAGAGATCGGAAGATTGATTTTCAAAGGCGGCCTTGTACTGTGAAGTGAAAGGGGCGCAAACTATTGCACGATGGAGGGAATTTCAGAGCAAGTTAGAAAGAGATAAAAACAAAGATAAAAAAGTACAAATTTAAATATAAATTGAAAAATGCAAGGACACAACACGTAGTAGTTTCTTCCATGTTGGCCAATTACTAATTTACCTTTAGCGAAAATTAAGGAGAGAGCAGTGATTTTAGAATTGAGAAACTACATGAAACTCTATATGGAAATTGTAGTATCAAGCACCATATAAATACATACGGTAGACTTAGTAGGCTTGCTAATCACGATGAAAAAGTCCTCTGATTTTCAGAGTATCACTTCGTGTATGTTTTGTATTAAAAAATATACAAAAATTGTGTTTAATGTAATTGGTTATGATTGTTGTTTTTGTTTGAAGAGAAGATGACAAGATGTGGATATACAGGATGGCTTGTTTGTGATATGTGTTCCACTTGTTTGGAATCGAGAAGTTACACATATACCTCGACGGAGCTGTCAAGGAACACTGCTGTCAAGGAACATTGTTGATGCACAAGCTGGGAGGATAATATTTGGCAGTCGATGATCAGCCATATATGGAGAATAGGGTGCTGAAGGATACACGCTGGAGTTAGGAAGGATATTACCTCCTTGGTACGAATTATAAAATAACAAGTCGAATGTTTGTCTGAGGGTCAGGAAAGTTGAGCTTTTTCAGTTATCTGCAACCGTCTAAGTCTTTAGTAACCTGGGGGGTGAGGGTAACTAGCGAGGCTATTGTTAGTACCATGTTTTGATGAATATATATATAAAACTAATCTTGAAATCCTCGTTTTCTCAAATGCGTTATTTGGTCAAACTTGATAAACCGAGGAATTGTGACAAAATCTCTTATTAAAAATCCTCATCCAGACTACCCTAATGCAGAAAGTACATAAAATCTGGCACGTTTTTCTTATACATAATATGTAGCAGTCTCAGGTACATAGTCTCTCCCAATTCTAGGCAATTCTGGTTTCTTATAGATAGACATACTGATACTGATGTCTCCATGAGGATAAAAAAAATAAAAAAGGAAAATCACATCTTGGAGTAACGAAACTCCAATGAACCTATGATAATGCACGAGACGGATCTGATGTAACCTTCCGGCTAGTTGAACATGCATGTGGTGAGACTACAGTAACTGTGCTCTTTACATTAATCAATCATCCACAAAGTCAGATGCAGGTGACAGGGAGAGATATGATGTAACCTTCACACCACTCTGGTTAGGGGGATTATGCTGCTGCGACGATGATGATGCGAAACCCTTTCCACAGCAGATATCATTTGTGGCATCGACATGCCCACTGAAACTATGATCTCTGGTTCAATAGACAAGAGAAACATACATACATACCATTAAGAGGTGCAAGGATAGCAACAATAAGCAATATCAAAGAGATGCGGAACATATAAATGAGGTCGACCAGGAACATCAAGCAAAACCTTGCCCAGAATACGTAAAGCCTTCATGGGAAAGCAAGCCATAATTTGGTTTACTTTTTAAGTCTCTTTCTCTAAGGTTGTTAAGTTTAACTGCCGTTCAGTCACTGATACCTATTCAGAGAATAAAAAATTCTACTTCGGGCACTAAATGAGTAAATGTTGAACCCATGCTAGCCTCACCAAAATCAAATCTGAAGTCGTATTGACATAACAATATCTTGTAAATGGTTATGGCCTAATCATATCTTGACATAATTTCTGGTAGCAATTAAGAAAACTTAAAGTAAAGCGTGCAGTGCAAATAGAAAAAGTCAAAAGCTTAAAGCATCACATCAAGAATTAGGAGGAGTAGTAGGAAGCAGACCTATGCCTTCCCGAATGGATAAATTTGGTCTAATGATGTCGGCAGCACTGACCAGAAAGATGTCCCCAATATATAGATGGTTTGTTGGGACATAAACACTGCACAATTCTTCATCTCTATCTTCTCTCTATGATAAAAAGAATCCACATCAGCAACAATTCAGAAGGAGCCAAATACATAATTAGTTACCCTCATTTAGGTTCTGGTCCTCATCGAGCAAACTTAAGCAAGGAGCAAATGCTGAATTCAGGGTGATTTGGGACCCGAGATACATCTCATCATGTTATTAAACTGCTAACCTGAAGGGTAAGGGATGATGTGATGAAACCAAATGCATATTCACCATGACGAGGATGACGAATAATCGCAACCTCTTTGAATGCAGTAGTATTCTGATCTGCATGCACATACAAGGCAAATCTCACCAGCTGTGGCAGAATCTTTAGTAAGTTGAAGGAAATGATGAAGAGTGACTGCTAGGAGTACCCCCTCCAGAGCCTAGGCCGAGTGATAGAATGGATGAGAAAACACCCTGCCACCACAGTCTAAACCTTGGAGCAATAATCACGTATTCTAAAAAATGTCTGGATGTATTGTTCTTTCTAAGGTATATGGTCACAAAAATGAATAACTGGTATGTTCAATTGAAAATCGTTGCAAAATGAACAGTCAGGTGAAAGCATCAGAAAGATTAGGGAAGTCTTTGTGAAGCATAGACTGCTGATACATTTTAAAAAATGCATTATATATGTGCCTCATGAATGGAACCTGACAATCAGCTAACTTACCAGGAGAGATAGCAGCACTTATTTGTTTAGAGGCTGAATAGATGTGCTTCATGAATGGCATCCGCTTTATAAACCATTCCCCAAGCCAGAAGACAGTCGAACCCAACCATGATGAAGCAAACATGCCCACAAAGAAAATGAAAAGTAGTGATGTGAGGAATCCAAGGCCTGCAGCGAAGAGCAAACATTAGCATAGCAAGTGATAACCTAATATAGTAAGAAGGGGCAGGCACACATCAGGAGGATGATACCAAATACCAAAAATGAAGAATTAGAAACATCTACTTTCAGGTAAAGTTTACTGAACTACAAGGAATACTACTGAAAGACATTTTGATGTGTCCCAAGAAAGCATAAAATAAGGGGGGTAATCAATGGTTATTAGGGTTGTAATCCAGAATGCAGGACTAAAGCTGTCACGTGGCAGATGATCAGCAATTAACTACATTATGCTTAACATGGAACCTACTGAACCAACAGCCACAAAACACAACTAATTTGGAAATAAGAAGAGGAAGGAGAAGGTACTACAAAGAAGAAACAAATGCAATATCTTGGTTTACAAGAGGAAATAAAAGAAAGCTGCACTCTCAATTCACCAAATCAGTATAGTGAATACATTGAAACTGACAGAACATTAACCAACAAAAGAACATAACAATGAGTACATCCTGAATCTCCCACAATGTATGCTAATATCTACTTTCTCCTATGTATCTAGTTATTTAACTTCAACTGTATCTTGAAACGCAGATTGACCATCGTCCGTTCAGAAAATTCTTACCAAAGATGTTGATGCCAAGTTTAGCATATATCGGACTAAAGAAACCATCGACCAACTGGATAAACGACCACGACACTATAAAGGTCACCGCAACTGGAAACAGAACGACGCTGCAGTTCCACAAACCGAAAGAATTCAAACAAATTCAGTTGAAGCAAGAAAAAAGAACTTCAGAATGGAGGATGTACACTAAAATGATAAGCTCATTACCATCCAGTCACGAACTTCTTAGTTGCCCAGCTTTGAAGAACAGCATAACAAGCCTAGTGAAGTCAAGATCACAAACTAAAATCTATCAGATGAACAATTTTAATCGTTGCAGCAAATACAGAAACTACAATTCAGTTTCCCACATCCATCGACAAGATCTCTGCCTGCTAGAGTTCATGCAAAAGATCCAATTACTGCGGGATATACGATTCTGATTAACACTACGCCTAACTTCCCTTATAATTCGACTTCGTAATACGACGGCAACTACGGCGATCAAGCAAAATGATTCAATGCGAAACAACAAATCTCCGAGTATTTCCCAGTTTCTAACTCAGAATTCATTCCTAGGTTTAGCGATTTCTGTGCGTATGGAGGCGTCTTACCTTGCGAGTGGAGGAGCTCGGGGAACCAGGAGCAGACTTGAGAACATCGTCGTCGTCGTCGTCGTCCGGGTCCGGTTCACGGTGAGTCAGGCCTTGGTTCAGGGAACTCGAAGACGCTTCTTTCTCCTCCGCCATTAACGCTACTTCTCAATTCTCACTGATTTGTTTTTTCGTTTTCCCCTTCCCTTAAAATCGGCCTTTCTTCTTAAGGCCTATCGTGTTGGAGCGTCGCTTTACGTCTCTTTTTCTTCTTTCCCGCGGTCTGTAAAACGTTTGCTTTCTTCTCCTGGTGGTCTCTGTCTGTGTTGCCTGATCGGTCGGTGAGCTCCGACCGGAGGTTGAAGCAAGAGTTGGCATGTTTGGTTAAGGAAATAAGATAAGCCAGGCCCAGGCTAGTAACCAACCGCCATATTTATTAAGAAAGAAAGCCACCAGGCGAATGGTTTGAGGTCTAGTTTTTATTGGATTGGGTTTCGGATCCGTTTCAAAACAGGCCTGCTTTTAACTCTCATTTTTTTTACTAAAAGTCGAGGCTACAGCTGGTTGCTCGCAATGGCACATAGTGGCTCATGCCTCATACTCATAGGGTGGCTCATATCGGGACTGTTGATATGACTTGGAATCGGACTATCAGCCGCTACGACTGGTAATCGGGGGTCTCGTTGCCCGGTCAGCGAGTGGGGTCCAGGGGCAACGCCCCCGGCCTACGGTGTATGGGCTCAATGTTATTTGGGTTCGGGTTCTGGGCCTGGTCTGTAACCGTTTCCTTTGGCAGATTGGATTAGGTTTAGACCCACATGGAGAAGTACTATAAATACTTCTCATACTCCTCTGTAATCTGTAATCTCCTTGATATAGTGAAATCGCTCTCTCTCGCCCGTGGACGTAGCTAACACACATCTTGTTAGTGAACCACGTAAATCGGTGTGTCGTGTTTTCGATTCTCGCTTTCGTATTCCTTGCTTTGTCGATTCCGGCGATTTCCCAATTCGTAGCAGCGCGTTTATAACAAGTGGTATCAGAGTCGCGGCTGGAAATCAGGCTAGGGTTTCGATTCAGAAGAATGACGTCGGTGAAACATGAAGATCGAAAAGTTCACGGGGAAGAACAGCTTCGCTAATATGGCAGATCAAGATGCAGGCTTTATTAAAACAGCAAGGGTTGTGGGGGCCGCTGTCTGCGAAACAGAAGAAGGCAACGGTCGATGACGATGAGTGGAATACCCTGGAGGAGAAGGCCCACTCGACCATCATGCTATCGTTGTCTGATGACGTCATCATTGAAGTCGCTGCTGAGAAAGAGACTGCCGCGGGCTTGTGGTTGAAACTAGAGAGTCTGTACACGACTAAGTCTCTAACCAACAAGCTGCATCTCAAGCAACGGTTGTTCAGCTTGAGGATGCAAGAAGGTACGCCTTTGAGGGAACATCTCGAACAACTTACTCTATTTTGCTGGATCTGCGTAATATAGATGTTCAAGTTGATGACGAGGATGCTGCCCTAATCCTGCTGGTTTCTTTGCCGAGTTCATATGAGAATTTCATTGATTTCTTTTATTGCTGGTAAAGAAAGCGTGTCGTTGGAGGATGTCAGGTCTGCTCTTCATACGAGAGAGATCAGACATAAGGCGTCCAGATCTGGTACAGGTGGTGAGGCATCGGTTTGGCTGTTACAGGTGGAAGGGAAAGAAGAAATCTGGTAAAGGGAATTCGAGCAAGAATTCCAAGGGTCCCGGTTCACAGCCAGGTGGATGCTTGTCACAACTGTAAGGAAGTGGGGCATTGGAAGTACAACTGTCCCAAGAGAAGAGGGCAACAGAAGAAACAAGGTTCAGTTGCCGTGGCAGAAGTGGACAATAGTTCTGAAGACGATCTCGCCTTGGCTGTAGATGAGAAGGCACATCGTGGTGATGTGTGGTTTCTGGATACTGCAGCCTCATATCATATATCTCCGAACAGGGATTGCTTCACAACCTACGAGCAGATAGATGGTGGTAACGTGGTCATGGCTAATGGAGCTGTCTGCAAGGTTGTTGGAATCGGATCCATAAAGGTTCGGACACATGATGGTTCATTCTGTACCGTAAATGATGTCAGGCATGTTCCACGAATGACAAAGAACCTGATCTCCTTGAGTCTACTCGACAGCAAGGGTTTCAGCTTCAAAGGAAAAGGTGGAGTTGTGTATGTCTGCCAAGGGTTCGAGGAAGGTACTGAAGGGCGTGAAGCGTGGGACCTTGTATGCATTACAAGGGTCTGTGTTGTCTGGTTCTGCTGCAGTTGCATCGTCTCAGTTCAACAGGAAGATATGACCACTCTCTGGCACATGAGACTGGGGCATATGAAGTGAACGGGGGATGCAAGTTCTATCGAAGAGGGGATCTTCTTTGCGGGCACAAGGTGTAGAATTTGGAATTCTGTGAGCATTGTGTGTTTGGGAAGCTACACCGCAGCAAGTTTCCCAAGAAGGGTATCCACCGGGACGAAGGGGATACTGGATTACCTCCACTCCGACTGTTGGGGTCCTTCACGAGTTGAATCCATTGGAGGCAGCAGGTATTTTCTGTTATTATTGATGATTATTCGAGATTTACTTGGATTTTCATGATGAAGCAGAAAAGTGAGGCTTTCACGAAGTTCAAGCAGTGGAAGACATTGGTGGAGAATCAGACCGGTAAGAAGATCAAGAAGCTGCGAACGGACAATGGTCTGGAGTTCTGTAATTCTGAGTTCAACGAATTCTGCAAGGATGAAGGGATTGCCCGTCATCGGACTGTTAGAGATACACCCCAGCAGAATGGATTTGCAGAAAGGATGAACCAGACATTGTTGGAGAGAGCACGGTGCATGCTCTCTAATGCTGGACTAGAGAGAAGATTCTGGGCAGAAGCAGTAAACATGGCGTGCTTCCTGATCAACCGTGGACCACACACAGGTAGCAGGAATGTTGATAAGCAGGTGGAGCTGCAAACTCTCAATAAGAGTGAGTTTGAGCACCAAGGTGGAGAAGATCAACATGATGAGGATGTCTCTGCAGAGCCAGAAATTTCAGAGTCCAATGCACGAGCTCAATAGTCTATTGCTTCTGGTAGACCGAAGAGAGCGACTGCAGGAGTACCTCCACAGAGGTATGGCTTCGAGGACATGGTGGCGTATTCATTTCAGGTTGCTGAGGAAGTGGATGCAGGAGAGCCACAGTCCTATAGAGAAGCAGTTTCAGGTGGTGAAGCTGATCAGTGGCTTGCCGCAATGGGAGATGAGATGGAATCCCATGACAGGAATCAGACTTGGGAGCTAGTCAAACGACCACAGGGAAGGAAGATTGTTACAAACAAGTGGATCTACAAGAAGAAGGAAGGAATCACTTCTAAAGAGGGCATGAAATTTAAAGCTCGGGTGGTTGCACGAGGCTTCTCGCAGAGGGAAGGAGTTGACTACAATGAGATTTTCTCACCAGTGGTCAGACATACTTCAATCAGAGTGCTACTAGCAATAGTGGCACATTATGACTTGGAGCTCGAGCAGCTAGACGTGAAGACAGCTTTCCTACATGGAGAGTTGGAGGAAGAAATTTACATGACTCAGCCAGAAGGATTCGAAGTTCAGGGAAAAGAAGGACTATGTTTGTAAGCTGAAGAAGTCCTTGTATGGACTTAAGCAATCTCCGAGGCAGTGGTACAAGAGATTTGACAGTTACATGCTTGAGCTGGGCTACAACAGAAGTCCATATGATTGTTGTGTATATCATAGCAAGGCAGAGGATGGTTCAATGATATATCTAGTTCTGTATGTGGATGATATGCTCATAACTGCGAGGTCAAAGTCTGATATCCAGAAGTTAAAGGGGCTTCTTAGTGCTGAGTTTGAGATGAAGGATTTGGGAGCTGCTCAGAAGATCTTGGGTATGGAGATTTACAGGGACAGGTCGAAGAAGAAGCTTTTCTTGTCACAGAAAAGCTACATCCAGAAGATATTGTCGAGGTTTGGCATGTCTTCAGCAAAGCCCTTAAATACTCCTAGTGCTTCAAATGTTCATCTATCCTCAGCTTATGCATCACAGTCAGAGGCTGAGAAGGAGTACATGTCGAGAGTCCCATATGCTAGTGCAGTAGGTAGCTTGATGTACGCTATGGTATGCACTAGACCGGATCTTGCACATGTTGTTAGTGTTGTCAGCAGGTTTTATGATACAACCTGGGAAGGAGCATTGGCAGGCTGTGAAGAGGATCTTCCGGTACCTTAAGGGTACACCTGATGTGGGGATTAGCTTCGGAAGTGATGCAGAGTGCTTGGTGTCTGGGTATTCTGACTCGGACTATGCTGGAGATGTTGACACGAGGAGATCGATGACCGGTTATGTATTCACTCTTGGGAGTTCTGTAGTGAGCTGGAAGGCAACTCTGCAGTCGGCGGTGACATTGTCTACTACTGAGGCAGAGTATATGGCGTTGACAGAAGCTGCTAAGGAGGGAATATGGTTGAAGGGACTGGTTGGTGATCTGGGTCTACATCATGATCAGGCAGTGGTGTATTGCGACAGTTTGAGTGCAATATGCTTGGCCAAGGATCAAGTCCACCATGAGAGGACTAAGAACATCGATGTGAGGTATCATTTCTTGAGGACAGAGAAGAGGATTAAGGTGAAGAAGGTTGGCACCGCGGATAATCCTGCTGATATGTTCACGAAGTCGGTTCCACATGGCAAGTTCCAACACTGCTTGGACTTGCTGAATGTCTTGAGTGGGTGACTCCGCCCTACGGGGCATTGATGGCGGGAGAGAGAGAAGGAGCAGAGTACATCAGAGATTTCAGAGGAAGAGGATTCCAGTCAAGGTGGAGATTTGTTGATATGACTTGAATCGGACTATCAGCCGCTACGACTGGTAATCGGGGGTCTCGCTGCCCGGTCAGCGAGTGGGGTCCAGGGGCAACGCCCCCGGCCCACGGTGTATGGGCTCAATGTTATTTGGGTTCGGGTTCTGGGCCTGGTCTGTAACCGTTTCCTTTGGCAGATTGGATTAGGTTTAGACCCACATGGAGAAGTACTATAAATACTTCTCATACTCCTCTGTAATCTGTAATCTCCTTGATATAGTGAAATCGGCTCTCTCTCGCCCGTGGACGTAGCTAACACACATCGTGTTAGTGAACCACGTAAATCGTGTGTCGTGTTTTCGATTCTCGCTTTCGTATTCTTGCTTTGTCGATTCCGGCGATTTCCCGATCCGTAGCAGCGCGTTTATAACAGGGACTTTATTTCGTTAGTGGTTATGTAGTTCTTGATTGTTCTGTTGAACCGTGGATTTTGTTTTTCACCTCCTTTTAAGAGTGAACTATTGACAACAACAACAAAAAAAGTTGAGGCTACGTAACCT